TGAGGCCCTGGGTTTGATTCTTCAGCACCACATAAGCAAAAAGAAAAAAGCCAGAAGTGGCGCTGTGGCTCAAGTGGTAGAGTGCTAGCTGAAGAGCTGAGGGACAGTGCCCAGGCCCAGAGTTCAGGCCCCACGACCGGAACAAAAAAAAACAAAAAACAAAAAAAACAAAAAACTATGTAATATATAATATTGAATGCTAAACATACACATTTAATCATTTCCTAACAAAGTTTGTTTTTCCTTTTTTTTTAAATGTTTACTTTTCTTGGTACTTGGGAATGAACCTAAGGCCACACAATAGTACTTTACCACTGAACTAAATAAGTTTCTCTACGTTCCTTTTTGAGACGAGGTCCTGCCATGAGTCCCAGGATGCTCCTAATCCTTTTTTTGTTTGTTGGTGGTGGGGCTTGAACTCTGGGCTTGGGCACTGACCCTGTGCTCTTCAGCTCAAGGCAAGCACTCTACTACTTGAGCCATAGCGCCACTTCCGGTCTTCTAGTGGTTTATTGGAGATAAAGAGTCTCACTGGCTTTCCTGCCATTTAAACTGTGATCCTCAGATCTCAGCCTCCTCAATAGCTAGGATTATAGGTGTGAGCCACCAGCAACCAGCTGGATGCTCCTAATTCTAAATCCTCTTCCTTTAACCTCCTGAATCCTAGAGTTACATGTGTATACCATCAAACCAAGCTTCCTTAATAGTTCCTTTGGAAGAAAGTGAAGAATGACAATCTCTAAGAAAGAAAGAGAGAAAAAGAGAGAGGGGGGAGGGAGGAAAAGAGGGGGGGAGGGAGGGAGGAAAGAAGGAAGGGAGGGAAGGAAAACGTTAGGAGCCCTATCAACACGAGGTACAAAACCACAGAACTAAAGCCTCCTTTTTACCTCTTAAGGGTACTCTCTGAAGAAAAGGAGAGCGAGCTGTCTGTCTGCACGGTACAGTATGATGGCCAGCAGATGTCCCTGCAACTTTTTCTGCATAACCAGAGAAAAGCACAGGACAGAGTAAGCCTCACATACAGTTTTCTAAACTAGTCAACAATCATGATCTCAATAGCAGCATCCAAATTTGCAATATAATTACTTATGGAGCCTTGCACACAAAAACAATATTCTAAGGCTGTAACATACCAGAATCATCCATCACAGCTATAGCTTGCTCTGCTTTATGTTGCAAAGCTAGAAGAGCAGCTTGTCGACCCTGCAGAGCTCGAAGTTGTTCCTGTTGTTGTAACATTCTTTTTAATAAATCATGTTGTTTCTTCAAATTTTCTATCTCTTCAATAGGCTCCTGTTGAGGATCTCTAGCCTGGAAAATAAAACCAGTAATATTTATATCTACCTATTTTAACTGCCAATGGCAAAGTACATTCATACATGTATTATTAAATATACAACTGTAAATACAGTTTTAGTAGATTTTAAAAGAACGAATAGAATGATGATAGACAGCCTGCCATGTTAAGTGTTTGGTAATTTCACAGTAATTATTATGATGACTTATTATGAAGGTGTATCAACAAAAGAAAAAGAAAACCAGAAAATTGGAAGTCAAAGAAGGCAAAAAGTGCTATCTACAGTATACACAAAAGAATGGGAGATTCATATTCCATGAAATAGTAGCAAATTCTATTGGGCTATGCTTAAAAAAAGATCAATTAAACTTTCAAAACGAGAAAAACTTCCTAAAGGAATCTCAGAATATAAACAAACCCACTAACTTCTAACAAAGGAAACAAATTTTAGATATGCATTTTTTTGTTTGACAAGTATAAAAAAGCTTTTTGTTTGCCTCATATTACTAGGTATATAGGAAAGCAGTAAAATTTACAATTTGAATCATGTATGTCACTGATTTTCTTAAATTATGCTTAATCAGCTGACTATAAGGACACAAAAGTACATACTACAAATTTCTCCAAAATGCTAAGAACTTATCACTATGTATAAAAGTCAAGTAACGGATTATATTGATACAAAACATCATTACAAGAAATCATTGACATCAAGTGGGCAGTGTTAAAAGGACCATCAATAGTATAGTACTTCCCTAATATGCACGAGGGCCCTTGATTCAACAAAAAGAAAAAAAATTGTATTCTGAATAATCATTTTTAAACTATTCAAAATGAAGCTTTAAGAGGTAAAAAGGCCCAGAATGGGAAGGGGAAACAAAGGAGGCTACAATGTTTGATAAGAAATGTACTCATTATCTTGCCCATGTAATTGTAACCCCTCTGTACAGTATTTTCACAATAAAAAAAGTAAAAAGGCCCAACAAAAATACAACATGAATTCAATAAATTACAAGTCAAATTATGCATGAAATACAAAGCATAGTGGCTTTTCATCACTACCATTAAAAATTTAAATGTCCTATGATTTTACCTATTTATATAAAACTTTCCTTTTCTTGTCAATTTTAAATTTTGTTAAAGTTTTTTGTTGAACATTTTTTTGTTAAAAATTTAAATGATTTTCCCCTAAAATTAATATAGGTATAAAAAGTTCAGTAATTTCACTTAAAAGTCTACTTTTCCTGTACACATCTGATTTCTAGAGAAATTATGGAGAAAATAGATGGCTCAAGAGAAGTTTCCCTCTGGGTGACATCCCTCACCAGTACTATGGAAAAGTAAAGCCTCTTCATTTCCCAAGAACTCACCAGTATTGTGAATAGGTAAAGTAACCATGACAACATCTTACATTGTGACTTGGAATTAAAAAAAAAAAGAAAATTAGTAAGTCAACAAAAACAAAAAAAAAACATATCACAGAGTATTTAAAGAGGGTGAAATAGGATGTTTAGTGGAGGTTTATTACTAGTTACTAATTTTTACATCCATATAAACATTCTATTGAGATCTGGAAAGCTGAACCAAGAGAGTGGGTAAGACTGACCCAATATAAAGAAAGGGAAATGAAATGAAATAACTAGAGCTGAACAATAACTAGAGCTAAGCACTAGTGCTTCCCACCTATAATCCTAACTGCTTGGCAGGCTGAAATCTGAAGATCAAAGATCAAAGTCAGCCTGGGCAGAAAAGTCCGTGAGATGGTACTTCCAATTAACTAGCAAAAGAGCTAGAAGTGCAGGTACGGCTCAAGTGCCAGCCTTAAGTTTAAAAAAAGAAACAAGAGGGCTGGGAAGGTGGCTCAGTGGTAGAGCGCTTGCCTTGCATGCATGAGGTCCTGGGTTCGATTCCTCAGCATCACATAAGCAGAAAGAAAAAAAAAAGCCAGAAGTGGCGCTGTGGCTCAAGTGGTAGAGCACTAGCCTTGAGCTGAAGAGCTGAGGGACAGTGCCCAAGCCCAGAGTTCAGGCCCCACGACTGGACACAAAAAGAAAGAAAGAAACAAGAATGCAAAGCACACACACCCACACACAAACATGCATAGGCACGCACACACACACATACACACCTACTCCACACTAAACTTTAAAAAAATGTCTAGGAATAAGAACATGACAAAAATATAGTAATTGGAAAGCCAGTACTACAGCTAGCCCTTCAAAAACATACTCAGGCATAAAACCTAAATTGCACATATATAAAACAGTAAAACCTCAGGAAATCTGTCTTCATTTCCTCCTCTAAATTGGGGGCTTCTCCAGTAATTTTTCAGATACAGACTTAGGTTTATAGCTAGCTTCAGACAATATATATATATATATATATATATATATATATATATTCTGATTTTTTTCATGTAAAAAGAAACTGAAAGCACACAGAAAACAAAGCTTTAATTTATCCAACATCATAATTAGACAATGTCAGGATCCTAAATCTCTAGTGCTCTTTCCATCACACTGTCTGCCACAAAATTATGTGCTTGGGTTCCAAATACCTAAATTAACACATAATCTCAGAAGAGGCACAGTTAGTTTGTGAGACCAGGTGAGTTCACATAAGGTAGTCAGAAATGATTAAAATAATACCAAGAGAAAATAACAGAAGTGTGGTATTTCTGCCAGGCCTCTTTTGTAAAATTACACAAAATTTGTCCATAAAATATTCACTAAGATGGAATCTGCCTTTGTAGGTATAGCTATATATTAGTACTTTCATATTGAACTCCCAAATCAAAGATAGTTTTTACCCTTGAATCTCAGTAAGATCTACCGGTTTTGTTTTTTTTCTATTATTCCAACAGAACACTACATTTTGAAGTTTCTAAGGAGAAAATGAAGACAAGGTAATGAGAATGGCAGACCCCTCTTAGCAGACAAAATAAGGTGGTGGGAATTAATTTCTTTCTAAGAAAATCATTTAATGAACTGAATCCTTAAAATCTACAGTAGGATAACCTTAAAAATCTGCAATAAACTTCAAGCAAATTCAAGAAAGTAATACTCATTTGTAAAGATACTTCTCAAAGAAACGTAAAAGCAGAAAGGCAAAAACGTTAACTCCTTAAGGATGGAGGGAGGAAAGTAATAGAAACTATGATGTACCACCTGTTAACTATAAACAAAATTTTAAAAAAGACAAAAATTTACAAAGAATACCATAAGTAACCTAGAACTTTGTTCCTTTCAAATTTCACTAGCTTTAAAAATAAGCAGTTAGCTTATTGTTGGGAGAAACCTCTTGCTTAGCGTTATTTATTTTTGCCAGTCCTGGGACTTGAACTCAGGGCCTGGGCACTGTCCCTGAACTTCTTTTACTCAAGACTAGCACTGTACCACTTGAGCCACAGCACGACTTCCAGCTTTTTCTGTTTATGTGGTACTGAGGAATCGAACCCAGAGCTTCATGCATGCTAGGCAAGCACTCTACCACTAAGCCACATTCCCAGCCCTTGCCTATTAGCATTTTATGTAATTAAACATGTACATAGCAGATTATCAAACTGTGTCCTCAAACTCTTATGAAGCCAGAAAGACAAAACAAAACACACAAACTGTCAAAATATCTAGAGGTTAATATTTCTCATAAAAAGAAAATAAGCTGGGCGTTGGTGGCTCACATCTGTAATCCTAGCCACTCAGGAGGCTGAGATTTGAGGATCATAGTCCAAAGCCAGTCCGGGCAGAAAAGCCTCTGTGAGGCTTTTACCTTCAATTAACCACTAAAAAACCGGAAGTGTAGCTCAAAGTGGAAGAGTGCCAGCCTCGAGAAAAGAGTTCAGAGACAGTGCCCAGGCCCTAAATTCAAGTCCCACAATCACTACCACCACTACCACTAACATATATATATACACATATGTATATATGTGTATATATATATATATATACACACACACATACATATAGATATATACATACCTAAAAGAGGAAATGATCAGCCCTTAATAAAATAGAAATAAACTCAAAATTAAACTAATGAAATAACTCACCTAGACTGATCTATTAGTAATAGAAAGTACTCTGCTCTTGCCAAATGAACATAAACATTTTTACAAATGCTATTTTAGTAGAACAAGTTGTCTCAAGTGGAATTAGGTAGTTTTCTTTAAAGTTAATATGACTTCCTTTATGCAAATCACCAAAAACTAAAAGAAAGCTTAAGGAAGGAAGGAAACACCTAAAAATATTAACAAACAAGTCAGCTACAAAATTAAGTATTTTTCTAAACAATGGAAAGGAGTTCTAACAGCAACATAAATACAAACATAAGAAAAATAAGATGTGTTGGAAGAAATGAGTGAAAGTGTTAAAAGGGGGTAACACTAAGATACATTATATTCATAAACTGCTTTGTTATATAGCAACTCCTTTGCACAACCACATAAAAGATAATAAACAAAAGTATTTCTTTTTACAAAGAAAGGAAAGCTAATAGTTTGTTCTGTTTTCCTTTTCTTTCATGAATGAACAGAAAGACAAAAATTAAAAATATCATTGTGATGAACTCAAGTATCAAATACAAAGGGCCAACTAACTGATGGTCTAAGTTCCAGAATGTGTTCTATATTTTAAGGTCTGATTGTAAAAATGACATTTAATTTTTAAATTCTTTATTAAAATCAGACACTTAATAATCTACGGATATATATATATATGTAGAAAAAAAGACTAAGGGACAGCATTTTATTAATGTAAATTAGTGTAATAAAGTTAATAATTTATATACTTAAGATATTATCAAGCCGGGCGCCAGTGGCTCCTGCCTGTAATCCTAGCTACTCAGGAGGCTAAGATCTGGGGATCGCCGTTCAAAGCCAACCCAGGCAGGAAAGTCCTTAAGACTCCAATTAACCACTCAAGAAAACCAGAAGTGGCGCTGTTGTTCAAGTGGTAGAGTGCTAGCCTTAAGCTGAAGAGTCAAGGACCAGAGTTCAAGCCCCATGACCAACCAAAAATAATAATAATAATAATAGTAATAATAGCAAAAACAGAAAAGCAATAAAGAAGAAATATGAACAAAAGAGGTACTCTTGTACAGACTTCCCAAATTAATACTGTGAAGTATACCTTTAAGGGAAATCTACATTTTCGGCTATATTTTCCAATTAGGTTTCAATTCCCTGTCATTCTGAAGTCTGTCACCTTTCCCTTTTGGACTTGTAGTAATGTCAATAAGCTTCTTGTGAAGCTCAATCCCCTAGTTTGTCTAAAATACACAGTCAAATTCTCAGACTAAAAGATGCCTTCTTTATTAAATAGTGTTAGCATATTATTTTCTTAATACAAAGTTCTGTCTAACACATAAGCCAGCCTTGTAAATAAATACTAAAATTTCTTGGTCCATCGTTCTTTAAAAAGCAATCCAGGGGCTAGGAAGGTGGCTCAGTGGCAGAGTGCTTGCCTTGCATGCATGAAGGCCTACATTCAATTCCTCAGCACCACATAAGCAGAAAAAGCCAGAAGTGGTGCTGTGGCTCAAGTGGTAGAACGTTAGCTTTGAGCTGAAGAGCTGAGGGACAGTGCACAGGCCCAGAGTTGAAGCCCCACAACCGACAGAAAAAAAAAAAAAAAGCAATCCACCCATTCCTACGTGGTAGTAAATTACTTAGTGAGATTTTAAGTTTCTTTATACTCACCTCTTGCTTATTATACTTAAACAAATCCTCAACAATTTCTAAGGTATACAAAACTGCTTATTCTGATACATATTAATGAACTTTCATGTCATGATTTTGTTACTATCAAAGTAATTCTCACCATGGTATACACTTTAGACTAACAGATAAATTATAATTAATTATACCATTTCCCACACTTCCCCAACAAATTCCTTTACATACACTACCCCTTCTGTTTCTACTAACAGGTAAGAAATTATTCTCAATACTACTGTAAATATAGAAGCCATTTTCCCACAACAGAATCAACTTTCAACAATTCTTTGGACCAATCCCTTCTAAGTATTTCCTGGTAAAATAAGATAGAGAAAAAAAATGAAATTTCCTTCTTAAATTAGAAAGAGCAGGGAAGACAAAAAAGGCAGATAAGAAACTATTCAAGGTCAATACTAAAAGGAAACAAACCCTCAGTTTCCTAATGCTGAGTAGCATTTTGGAAAGTACTTCAAAAACAATGAAATATATATGGTAATCCTTTCAAAAGAAAAGTCATTTTGGCAATAGGATCTAAGCTTACTAAGGCATGATTATAGGTACATCTGGTAAATATGCTTAGAAACAATAGTTTTTGAAACATATTAACTTATATGAACTAAGTCTAACCTACAAACTGCTGCTGAAAGCTTTAAAAACTGTATTTTCAAAGGACAGTATTTTTATAAATTTCATGTTACAGTAAAGAATTAAAGTGTATTTCTTACTGTAAGAAAATAATGTAAATACTGTCCTGGTCCTACTGTCATTTTTTCAGCGTTTTGATCATTTGATTTTGCTACAGTATTACTATCTAAAAAAGGAAAAATCTTAAAGAGTGGTCCATGGCGAATGAACATGGAGACTTCTTGCTGACTACGTGTTTAGCAGTCATTACTATTATTATTGATTACTAATAGTCATCAGAACCACAATGAATTTTACCTTTCCTAATGCTTTTTAAAATTAGGAAAATTAGGAAGTGGCGCTGTAGCTCAAGTGGTAGAGCGCTCGCCTTGAGCTGAAGAGCTGAGGGACAGTGCCCAGGCCCAGAGTTCAAGTCCCACGACCGACCAAAAAAAAAAAAAAAAAAAATTAGGAAAATTGTGCTAAACAAAACTAGAGAAACAGTGTTTCTCTACGATGAAGTTCAGAAATGACTAGATTTTCAATTCAATCACTATATTTTTAATCCTTGTACATTAAAGTTTTAAACCTTCATGTTTAAGAAATGTATACAGCATTAATAATTTGAGGGTTTCTTCCCCAGAATAAATTTTTTATTAAAGAATATCTATAAGATATCATCTTGAAAAATGGAGGAACGTTTAAAACTTCATTTCCAGTACTTTAGTTATTAGCAAAATGCCGCTTACCGTGGTATCTGAAGCCTCAGACTGCACATCTATGTTTAGCGATGTGCTCTCAGCTACAGAACCAGATCCCACAGCTGAATCTACAGTCCGAACATCCTCCTCCTCATTTTCTCTAGCCTGAAATATTTTAGTGGTATAAATCATACAACTATTAAAAAGGGCAATAAAATGTTATAATGGATGTCACAGGTTTTTAAATATTCTGGAGTGGCATCAGAATGTCACTAATGTATACAATTCATATATTATAAAAAAACAACTTGATATATTACTTAAAAGGTCCAAAACTTACAAGGATTTTTTGGAGAAATTTCATGTATGACTTTTCTTGTTCTTTAAGGTGATCTATTAGATGAGTAAGACGCTCAACATTAGCAGATCTTTCATTTTTTTCCACAAGGTCTTCTCGCATAGAACTAGCTTTAGTAAGATAGTCACGAATTTGAACAAGCCTACTTACAATCTATAGGGCAAATGTTAAAGAGAATGAAAAATACATGTAGGTTTATCATATAAATTTATATATGCAAAATATGTTAGCAAAACAAACTTTAACCAGAACATAATTAACAATACTAAAAATTTCAATCACTTATTTATGTGAAAATTGAACAATGAAACCTACTGAAATTGGTTTGGGAAGATAGAGGAGATGAGGTAAAGTGATGGAAGGGGTAAATCTGATCAAGGTACACTGCACTATGCACATATGGACATCTCAAATGAAACCCACTTATACAACTGATGCTAATAAAAAATATGGAAGAAATTTTTAAACACAAAAAAATTTTAGCCGGGTACCAGTGTAATCCTAGCTGTAATCCTAGCTGTAATCCTAGCCTGTAATCCTAGCTACTCAGGAGGCTGATATCTGAGAATCATGGTTCAAAGCCAGCCCAGGCAAGAAAGTCCATGAAACTTTTATCTCCAATAAACCACCAGAAAACCGGAAGTGGCGCTATAGCTCAAGTGGTACAGCACTAGCCTTGAGCTGAACAGCTGAGGGAAAGCGCTCAAGCCCAGAGTTCAAGCCCCACGACTGACAAAAAAAAAAAAAATTAATGGAAACTCCTCTGTACAACTACTTAAAAACTTTAACTTATATGTAAAATTTATAAAACAAATTGCCCATTTATATGTCTTCCTCATATAAATTAAATCCTTATAAATATCTTTGAAAGTGCTTTTCAGAAAAACAGTATTGTCAGGCATCAGTGGCTCCTGCCTGAAATCCTAGCTACTCAGGAAGCTAGGTCCCAGAGTATTGAGGTTTGAAACCAGCATAGGCAGAAAGGCATCAGAATGCCATCTTCAAAAGAACCAGCAATTTAAAAAACTAGGACTGGGGCTGGGAATGTGGTTTAGTGTAGACTGCTTGCCTAAAATGCATGAAGCCCTGGAGTCAATTCCTCAGTACCACATAAACAGAAAAAGCTGGAAGTGGTGCTGTGGCTCAAGTAGTAGAGTGCTTGACCCACAGCACCACTTGCTAGACTTGAGCAAAAAGCAGCTCAGGGACAGTGCCCAGGCCCTGAATTCAAGCCCCAGGACTGGCAAAAAATTAAATACATAAATAAAAAATTAGGGCTGGAAGCCTAAATAGGCACCAGTTGAATGGGCAACTCAAACAAGTTTGAGTCCCTGCATTCAAATTCCAGTTTTACCAAACACTTCTTACTAGAAATCAACATTTGGTATTTGGTAAGTAAAAATGTACATATGAAATTTGTAAAAATAAACAAAACAAACACATTACCTGACTGCTTTCCATTGCAGGCTCTCCTCTCCCATCCTCTTCTGATACATGACAATTTTGTAAAAGGTCATTACTTAAAGCAGATGCAAACAACTTTTTACATTGTGTTGATCCAACCATTTCTCTTTTTTGAAGACTTGTAGCAGCATCTTTGCTCTTGTTAGTATTAATCTGCATAGGTAAAAAGTTGAAGGGCTTTCTGTTTTCACTAAGCTGACGTTTGTTGTTGGCAGCTGTTGCTCTACCTTGAGAATCACTTCCAATGCTTCTCTACACACACAAAAAAAAATCACACAAACATTAATCTTTTAACTTCAATGTTCTTAGTTCCACTATCAGTTACTTTACTGAGGTATATTCAAAAAATATTTCAAAGATCTATAAAATTGTTTTAATAAAAGAATTAAAGTAATTATTCTCTAATCACCTCATTTTCCTGAACCAATTCATCTGATGACTATGAATAAGTGACATACTAGGACTATAACCACATTTACAGAATTCTCACAGGCTCTGGACTCAAGAAATTAATGTTAAGTATCAGCACAAAGATTTGTCTATATGAAGCACTGTTTGAAAAAGTACTTTAAAGATAGGGATAAAGCTCATAGGTAGAATGTTTACCTAACATGTATAAGACTCTGGCTTCAATCACAAGCCCACATATTTGAAGAAAAAAAAAATCAGTTTAATACCTGCTGTAAACTAAAACTAGTAAAGTATTTCCTAAGTAGAACACAGTCATTTCCATCATCAGACTTAAATCTATTTGCCATGTATTTGGGAACCTCTTTACTTCTGCAAACTATAGATGTGTTAGTAAAATACTGATCAAGAGTTCATTGGGGTTTTTTTTGTTTTTTCAGTCGTGGGGCTTGAACTCTGGGCTTGAGAGCCGTCCCTCAGCTCTTCAGCTCAAGACTAGTGCTCTACTGCTTGAGCAACAGGGCCACTTCCAGTTTTCTGGTGGTTAATTGGAGATAAGAGTCTCACGGACTTTCCTGCCTAGGCTGGCTTTGATCCATGATCCTCAGATTTCAGCCTCCTGAGTAGCTAGAATTACAGGTGTGAGCCACCAGTGCCCAGCAAAAGTTTATTGTTACTTCTATTTGCTTATAGTGGTTATAAAAACAAATCAATCTTATTCTAATTTAGATAATCTAACACATCCTACACTTAACAATACCTACATTAAACTTAATTTTATTCAGTTAATATCATGCAAAATTTACTTTTATAATAAACTTATTAATTAGCAATAGTAATGAAGTCCAGAAAGTTGTGTACTGGGCAAGTTTAGAAATAAGACTTTGTCTCTCTTTAAGACACAGTACCATCATTGATTCCTTCCACATGTATAGAAACTTTTATTAAAACATGTTTGTACATCTTTATGGGATACAATGTAATTAAATACACATGACTGCCTAATGATTAAATTAGGGTAATGAATACTTGCACCTCCTCTAACATTTATCACTTCTTTGCTAAAGCACTTCCATACTGTCCTAATTGTTTCTTAAATACATCGTGTGTGTGTGTGTGTGTGTGTGTGT